GGTGGCACTGGTGGCCTTTTTTCTCCTAAAAGAACGGCTCACTTTCGCCACGACATAACAGTGTTAATCAACATTGTGACATTTTTTCTGAAGACTGAACTTTTCGAGCTCGAGCCTGTCCCCGACTGCTTATTTGTCAAGGCCAACTTCCATATCCGGAAATCGTTCCCTTACCCGCAACCCGAGATGCGCCAGATGGCCAGCAGCTAGACACACCGACATACCATATTACACGGTTTGTTTATCATTGCTCTTTTCTTCTAAAGCTAATATCCTGTGTTCATCATTTGAAAGAATCCCAGATTAGCTTCAGATTTCCTTCTTTCTTCTGTCCAATTCGACTATTCTATGTTCTCTCGGCGCCAGGGTTTCATCTGCTGTAGCCCGCCGATGAGCAACTCTATGGAAATATTGGCATGATATTTATTTTTAATTAGACTTCATCGTTTATTTTTCCATTTCGTATTACAGAATTTGTAATTTCTGATTGCAACTCGTGGTACTACAGAGTCTAATGTGATTTTTTCTGTATCGCAAGAATCGCTGCTGCCTAAAACCGTGCTCTTGAAACATCATTTTTTTGGAAACCTCATTTTTCAGGTTCACATTACGTTAATAATTGTCGGATCTGACTACACAAAAGGCTCATAACGCTATCCATTCGCGCCATTGTTTTTCCTGTTCACCAGTCAGGGAGCAAAAAACCATGCAGACTTGGCACGAACAACTGAAAACGCACAGAGTGCCATTAGCTGGCACTTCATTTGGTGCTTTGATGATTCTCAAGACGGCTGTTCTGTTCATTCACCGGCTATTAACGCATGTTCCGTCACACGTAACGACAACGCCAGTCATTCTGAAAACGGGTGACCTCGAAAGTGTCCTTGTCAAAGCGGCCATCTGGGCGGTACACGTTGTTGTACTGATTTCACACTGAAGTGAAGAGACCTGTTTCATTGCACTCCAATAGCTTAAGCCACATGCGATTAATGAATCGGTCAAGTTGATTGGCCTGAGCAACGATATTTGCTTTCTGCGCAGAAATGAGACAATCCGACGTGGAAACATTAAAACTAAAATCAGACAAACGAATCTAATTTCATACATTTACATTTGAGATATGTAATATATGAATGATTGTTTTTTTCTACACTTCCGACATCCTGAGAACCTCAGCAAACAATTCAGGAGGAGGCTGGCCTCAAGAACAACTTCTGAGTTTCCAAATGTTCAAAAATAGCTTACGTAGAATTCGTGGTAATCGGTGATTTAATTCGGTGACCAGCTTTTACCATAGACGACAGGTCGTTTTGATGAGTTATAATTATCATTTGATCAGCTGTTTCGTCAGAAGTGATTCTGTTGATACGACGAAAAATCATTGTCGCTTCTCTTAGAAATTTTAAACGCGGTTTCAGTGAACCGTGCAAAATTCACGGACCCCGGTTTACGTGAAGGGCGGTTTGAAGCACCTGAAAACGAGTAGCTAGATTACTTCTCTCAAGTAAGCTAGTAGCACGATTCATAGCGTGCTTTCGAAAACACCAAAAGAGTTTGATACTCTCAGTACTCAAACTGCTGTCGTTTTAAATAATTCTCAATGTTTATACAAGTTGTTGCAGATATTATGAGTTTCACCCTCCATAGCAATTACGTCGTAGACAAAAGCGATGAGGTTTTTATATTTTTTGAGGTTCTTCATTTGGCAGTCAGGAATCGAGTTTAGGAAAACACATTATATCGTTATTGTAGTACAACAAGCATTATTTACTTTTCAGAGAAAGCCAAGAAAACACAGGTGCTATGCATTGATTCAGCAGGCCTTTTCCATCTTTGTGTCACCATCGTTAGAATGGTGATGTCCATCATTATCCCCTGTAAAATGTACGACGAGGTGATATACAAGTTTAAGCAACAATTTTAGCACAAATCTTCTGTTTCGATTCTCACTTTTCTAAAGCCATTAATCAAGCACAGTTTGATTCCTTTTTCCTTCTAGCCTATGAACCATCTTTTTTTGGTAATTGAACAACGGAAAAATATGGCATCCTTCTCACAGTCAGTTTTTTAAACATTGATCACAATTAATGTTATGTCATCCGTCAGACGACTAGCCATCTTAAATGAACGTCAGATTTGAAACTCGCCTTCATTCAAACGCCGTATGAAACTGAGGGAGAACAGTTATGTGGCAAACGCTATTCATAAAGCTTTCTTTGAGGGTGGGACCCCGAATCTTTCCTTTGGGATGCGCAGTCGACATTTTTCTCGTTGAAGGATTGACCATAAAAGCATGAGGTTGAATTTAATTAAATTAGAAAATAAACTTCTTTCGGGAAGGTAAAGAACCGGATAATGTTGCAAAGGGCACGAACTGTGGTGTCGAATGTACTGTCGATTAATCGGGTCTGCGAAATGATTGGCTAACACCAGTCGCCGAAAGATTCTAATTTCTTTAGAAATCAGCCCTCATACTAAACCTCATCACATGAAGTAAATGATTTATCCTCAACCAGTTTGTCTAATTGAGTAAATCTCCTTTCACTCTTAATCTCTACATTTCTTGAGGTCATCTGTGCCTGAAAAAGAACGTATTATTCCAATCGTAATCCTGCAATTTAACCCTCATTATGCATCTAAGCCAAAGTGTTGCATATATTGCAATAATTGTTTTGCAACTTCAGTAGAACA